GAGAAAAGTAGCAATTCTGTATTGACTGTGGTTTTTGGAGATTTATAGTAAGGAAGGTCTGGGATCACAAGTGGAATGAGATAGAAATACTGAAGAGTTATACACTCAGGAAGCTCCAACCATTCCATGCCCTGGATCCTCTGGAAAAAAATAATTTGTGATCATGTGATTAAAGGCCATATCATGGCACCTATGCACAAAGCAGCTGAATTAAAACTACATGGGGAATCTTAATTTGGGGGGAGGATAATTCTGAGCACTTGCCTTTGCCATATTAATGTGCTTTAAATGTAGGCTGGGAAAGGGTGTAATTTTACATATCCCTTGTTTAAAGGTATGTCTGAGGCACTGGGTTAGGGTTCTGGAGAGCTGACTTCATTCCTAGTTTTTCCACAAACTGCATTGTATAAGACATCTTCCTGGGTCTCAATTCCTCTTTCACTGAAAAATGGAAATAAGAAAATCTACCTATTTCCCAGGTATATTCTGAAGAAAAAATCATTTATGAGGTGCTTACTTATTGTTGTGGTGGATACCATATAAAGAGCTATTTTACATTACATTACATATATAGCTATTATAGCATATATTATATTATATTATATTATATTATATTATATTATAGTTTCAAAGCAGTATATAAGCATTGACTAATGAAACATGACTAACTTTTTTACCATTTTCTTTCCTTTTAAAGAAATTATGAAAAACTATAATGAAGATATCACTTCACACACATCTCTGGAGTTCGTAAGTACCAGAAGGGGAATGAGATATTTAATCTCTGCATTGAGTCACATCTTCCCACTCAATTATTTAAAAACAGGTAAACTCTGTCCAAGGAAGTATGTTACAGTTAAAAGAAAATGGATTCTGAAATTTCAGCTCTGAAGTAGAATGTATGTAGCATATTGCTATTCTCTCATGCAGTATTCTTCAGCTGTACTTTCACTTCTCATGTCTGAGAGATGTGAAGGTTTTTTTCTCCATAAAAGTTTCTCTCATGGTTACTTTCAGAAAGTATTAATATCCTGCTTGACTCTCCTTATGTGTACAGAGGGACCCTAGGGGATTTGCATGCAGCTTTCCTAGTGGGTGCTAAAGAAGAATCCTACTCTGTGGTATGATTTCTTTCCACAGTACTGCAGGAAAACTTCCATTGAGGAAACCCTTCTGGGGTTTTAGAATTTAAATTCGGAGAGGCAGATAGGGCGAATCAGGGTCCACTTGGACTTTGGTGCCCTGTCCTGCCATTCCTCTGATTTCTCAGATGTAAATAAATATTTCTTGAATCAGTAATAATTCTAGGAGGGTGCTCTCTGCTGCTATGCTATTCTGCCTGAAGTAAAGGAAGCAGGCCAAGTCATGGTAAGGAGGTGTCAACTAGAGGCCTCAACCCCCAAAACTAGAATTTCCTTGCCTCACAGACTCCTCTGCTTTCCCCCATATCCTTTCTGCCTGGCCAGGTCTACACAAGACATTGACTGCACAGTAGCCCGTTACTGCTTTGCAGTAGCATTGCATGGCAGAAAGTGTGACACAATGCTACTACACAGTAGTAACAAGCTACTGTGCAGTCAGCATCACCTAAAAGCCATTCAGCAATGCTACTACACAGTAATTCCAGTTACTGCATGGTCATTTAGTACTTGTGTATAAAAATACTAAATTACTGCACAGTAATGACTACACAGTCAGCGTTTTGTGTAGATGTGGCCCCTGAGGAGACAACTGGCTGGATATCCCCTGAGAACTACTTTAGTGAAACTTCCAGCCTCTGCTTCTCCATCTGAGAGGCTCCTCTGTAGAAGAAGACAATCTAGCCCCAGGTATTTACACTAAGAGTGGCCATTTTTTGACAGCAGCCCCCCTTTCCCACAACTCATTCACTTTAACTGAAGCAGGATTGGGGTAACAGGTTAAAATCTCTGAACATACCCACTTACTTGAGCTGAAGAAATGTAATGTTTTCAGGAATGAAAACATGAGGATCATTTTTCTTTGGTTCTATACTGTGATTAACATCTGTATGACAGGCACAGTTCCATACAGGCTGAAAGCATTGCTTCCACTGGTTATTTTATCTCCCAATATATATGTACCATGTAAAGCATGTACCTCTGCGCTTCAATTTGAAAAATGTTGAAGTATATCATTGATATATGGTATCAGTTATACTATACCAAGATGGTGCCAGTAGCTCCATTTCAGTGGCCCCCTCTCTCAGTCCTCTTCTCATATAGCTAGGAACTAGCTAGGACACTCTCCCATTTAGAAATATAAGATGGGCAGGATGGTCCCAATCTGCTACCCCCTGCCTGTTACCTTTACCTTGCAACCTCACTATAGTCCCTGCTTTGAGTCCACATACAGATCAAACACTTACCAACAAAGCCAGTTAAGTATGTGATTTTAATAAGCAGATAATTGGTACTGCCTAGTACCACATTTCACCCCCTGTACCAGTCATACCACCCTCCCTGGTCTGTTTAATTTTCTTTTTCCTCCTTCTATAGTGGTGAATTTTTCATATTGTGTGTGGATTGACAGCCCAGGTCAGGTTTGCAAAACTGCCACCCTCTGACCGTTCCAGTTACACTTCGTAGATTTTCCATGCAAAGCCCATAAGAAGTGAATTTATTGTATCTCTGGAGTGCAAGAGTAAAACCAAATCAGCCAGACAAAGCACTCTAAGCAGTCTTCAGTTTTGATTATTTGGTACACACTATCCAAGCATGCAACTGTTTTCATAACTGTTTAGGGAAGGGGCTATCTTAGCTCTTGTGTATTACATGGTCTTAACATTTTACCAACACTCCAGACCTGATTCAGCACATTAGCAAAAAACAGGAGTTAAGTAGCACAATCAAGCTCCTTGCATCTGATCTGATGAATCACTTAGCCCTCTGATCTGATCTAATTCTTCTCTCACCTCACACTGACTTCCTCAACTGCAATGGAGCCATTCTTAATTCAAGATTAAGTAAATAATAGGGAAGTCAACTCACTGACTTCAGAGGCAGTTGAAAGTGCTAAACACATTGCAAAAATCAGGCTCTAAACAAATAACAAATGAAAATATTAATATCTACATACTTACGCAATATAGAAATAGTGCCTAACTAATTACCCCTTTATCACAGGTGTCTTTTGAGGCTACAAACCATTTTGATTTGTTCTTTTTCTAGAAGACAGTTCATAATGCCATTGTTAGGAAGTTCATCTGAACAATGCACCAGTTATGTATTATTCACTGCTAATGTACAGTGCATTTATGTTATTCACTTTTGCACACAGTAAGGAACTTTATTATCTAGCTTGAGATTAAAAGTGGAGCAGACAATTGGGATGAGATCTATATCTGACCCAGACTCCAGGGTTTTATTAAACATAAAACATGTGAAATAAAATGTAAAAGACACAAATATTGTTTTTAAAGGCTTTTTCAGTACAACTTAAGTCACAGTTAAAATCTATCCTCAAAAGAGATATACATAAGGGGAAAAGGCTGCAAAATGTTTAGGGAAAAATTGCAACAGGGAAAAATACTGTTAAAAAAGAAGTCAGTATAAAATGGATAAATCTGATCTGATGCATTGTGCAAGGATATCAGTAATGGTTTCGGTATGAATCTTGATCTCAGAGGTGTTCTGGCTCTTACAGGGAGTCTGTGATAAAGTTAGGATAGTCTTGGACTCTTTGCCAAGAACTAATGTACAGGGCTTCATCCTGCTCCATTGAAACCAGTGACAAGCACTAATAAGCAGCACTCTAGACTTTACCTCTTACAGTCAGGAAGTGGAACTGGACTATAAATAAAACTCAGAGGCCTTACCCCTTCATCCCTTCCTCCCCTGAGAGACACTTCAATGCAAGTAAGGGTCACTTGCCTAACTAAGGTTCTCAGAATGGAGCCTATTTCTAGGCAGCATCCACAGTCAACCTAAGACACAGCTAGAAAATTCACATTCTGCATTTATTATCTTCCCTAAACCTATTCTTACAAGACCAGTTCCTACTGACTCTGCCTAGAAGCAGCCTGAATTCAGCAGGACTAGCCTGCCTGAGCCAAACCAGTCAGGGTCAGCTCACTGAACACAGAAGACTGAATGTTACATCAGGGGGTTGCAATCAAGTGTAAACATTTGGTTCCTCCCTTCTGAGGATCTTTAGAATTCTTTAAATCCTCTAAGTAAAACTGTCCACCCCAGCTCAGGTAAAATAATATGCCTCAAAGTACTATTTAGGATTTGTATACAATACGCCTGTTCAAAAGCCCAGTTCAGCCAGCTACTGAAGTTAGGGGGAGCTTCACTGCACAAGGAATGCAAGCTCCAGCTCTTGCCCTCTGGAGCAGTGGTTCTGAAACTTTTTGAATCCTGTGTCCTTAGCTGGTTGCAGTACTGTGTACCCCATGAGTCCTGGCTATGAATTACCAAAAAAGCAACATTTTATGACAAGGCAGCATATTAGGACACTCCCAGCAACCTAAGAGATATTATAGAGTTGTTGTTTTTCCTCCCATTACTTCCATAAATAATTCTCCTTTCCTTCCTTCTGCTTTCCCATTTCTTCCTTTCAGGCAGCCCCCTACAAGTTCTCAAGGATATGCACATCCCATTTGGAGAAGCTATAGGGAAAGCTGTACCATTGACCCAGTGGGAGAAGAATCATTTGCTTACTGGGATCTATTGCCCCATTGGCAGTTTCAAGGGATGCTTCCTCATGCTGTCCAGCTGTTCCCATTTTCCTACTTTCTGGAACCTAACAGCCACCAAATTCAAAACTGCTCGGATGCTGAATGACGCATATCATCAGACAAATAAAAGCTGTCAGAAATTCAAAGAACACTCCTTGTCCAGTGCTATTAAATGAGACAAACCTAATTACAATGCCATGCTTAGAAAAGTTGCTGCTTTTGCATTCTGCTCACCTAAAGCCAGCTTGCATTTATTTTCATGCCAGAAGTCAGGGTGCAACAAAAAACATAATTATTCAGGTTAGTAGCCGATGGCATTTATTGGCATGGTTTATATATTTCTGAAACACACTAATTCATTTATAGTACAAAGGGGATTAGAAATAAGAGAGAGAGAGAAACATTTTGCCCGAGTATGAACACCATCATTCTTTGAACTAGGCTGGCACTTGAAGATGAAAAACAATTAAAATTCTTGCCTGACCTCATTTATTTAAATAAATATAAATATAAATTTGATATAAAACTATTCACATACAAAGGGATGACTGTCATTTTTTAAAACTCTGTACAGATGATTGGCAGATAGACCTAAACGTTTTTCCTGTCTTTCTTTTATGTCTAAATCCTCAACGTCAGAACATTCAGTAAACAAACAAACAAGCCATGAAATGAGATTTTCTTAAACTGTACTGGGGAAGGGGGGCGGGGGAGAAACCTGTCATGCACATAGGAAAATCCAGTCCCGGGTTCGCTCATAGTTAAAGTCGCGTTTTCGCTGAAACTCTCACGACTGAAACATGTACATTCAAAAATATAGATCTAGGGCTGGGGCTGGGGTAAAGGTAACCTCACGGGAGAATGGAGCCGGAAAAGAACTGCGTCCTTGTGTGTGTTTGCTCCTAGCAGGATGACAGCTCGCGGCAGGTGAATGAAGCGGCCTCAGCCCCGGCTCTCGCGTCCGGCTCCGGCTTGCCCCCATATGGCCGAGCAGCGAGTTCAGAGAGCGGCGACGCCAGGTTCAAGGGAAGCCGCGAGTGCTCTACAAGGGGGAGATCTCTTTGTCCTCGGGGGCCGACGAGGGGGATAAAGACTCCTCGTCCTCCGAGCGGGGGTAATGCCCCTGGCTGCTGGCGCACTTGCAGCCCCCGTGCCCGTTCCTCGGGGTGCCCTTGCCCTCCTTCTTGTGCTTAACCCGGCGGTTCTGGAACCAGATCTTCACCTGCTTCTCGGACAGGTTGAGGTAGGTAGCGATCTCGATGCGCCGGAGCCGCGACAGGTACATGTTGGAGGAGAACTCCCGCTCCAGCTCCAGCAGCTGCGTGCTGGTGAACGCCGTCCGCATCCTCTTGCCGTTCGGGATCTGGCTGGTGTCAGAGCCGCCTGGACGGGGAGGGAGAAACAGGGAAGAAAGTCACACTCCTCTCCCTTGGGACCCGTGCCCCATCACTCCCTCCCTCCCGCCCCGCTCCGGGTTGCACCCCTGCCTGCCGGGTGCGGGCAGGCAGCAGGGCAGGGCCGCGTTCCTACCCATGCCGAGGCAGTGGAAGCGGCGCGGGTCGCTGACGCTGTAGGTGGCGGCGGCGCAGGCAGGGGCGTGATGCGCGGGGTGGCTCAGCGCAGCGGCG